AAAGACACAACTGTGGAGGCACAGTGATATAATATGAGGTATAATTATTAATTATCATAATTAAGTCCCGCTTTTTTCTGTCATTCTAAGCAGCAAAGAAACTTAGGAGGTAATGAGCCTCTTCTTAGGTGTTTAAAATGAAGTTGTTTTATATAATGAACTCAGTGCCTGTCTAAATGCACTCATGTCATAGGACCAAGTTTCCACTTTAGTAAATTAAGTTAACAAGACTATAAGGCTAGGCAATGCAAGTATGAGCTTTACACAACATATAAAGTATAATCTGTACTCATCACTTCTTCGAGAACATTTACATTTTAGTTCATCCAGTATCTTGTATTTCCAGCACTTTCTAGACATCTACTAACTAGTGAGTTCAGAATCTCAATGAATTGCAGCCACAAGGAAATTGTTCAAATTTTAAAAAGCTGATAGAGACTGTGAAAAGAGAAAAATAAAATAAAAGAATTATAAAAATCTGGAAGTGCTGCAGAGAAAGGATTTGGGCAAATCAGTGTCGCACCTTTAATTGACGCATCGGAGCAATGCTTTAGAGACGTTACCTGAAAATACAGAAATATCTACCCACAAACACGGATATGTTCTTAAGGTCAGTGGCGTTGGGGGTTTATGGCCTGCGGATGGGCTGCTTGTGACAGGAATGACACTGCCGGGGTAATTTTCTCCAGTAGGAGGGGTGGACTTGTGACCCAGGCAGGCTTGGATGATAGCCTCGCTGGAAAAGGCTGACGCAGGGAGTCCATTATTGCCCCTGGAGGAAGCGGAGGATTAGAACACCAAAGAATTTCAATAAAAGAAGTGTCTGTTTGGGGGTCGGGGAGAGGCAGAAGGATGGTGAAGGTGGTAGGGTGCTGGGGGGGAGTTCCCCTCATTGTCCCAGCAGTGATTGAGAGCAAGAGGAGGGGAGTGGGACAGCATTGTGTTTGCAGCTTCTCTGAAGAAGGTGGTTATTAGGGGGGATGGCTAAAGAGGGGTGAGGGATGGGGAGGCTGTTGACTCTTCATCTTGTGTGAACAAAGTCTCTGGCACATAGCCCTCTTCTGTCCCTCTGTCCTGGACACCCTTGTCTACGAGTGCCATGAATTCTGTCCCTCTCGCCGGGGACCCCCACCAACTCCAACCTGCGCCGCCACACATTGTGGGGCTTAAGTGCCCTTTAATTAGGCCGCCTCAGTGTCCGGCTGAAGACCGCTGAGGGTTTAGGCTCTTCCCTGTGGGACCTTGCTGAGCAGCTCAAACACACCAATAGTGCCCTTCACACAGCCAAGGGATAAGTGTTTGCTGCTCTAATGAAAAAGATTTATTTAAGAGTATGGTTTTCATTGCCCCCGACTTAAAAAGTCCTCACAATGGCCCTGATATTATCTTTAACACTGTTCCATTTCCAGGAAGCATTAGCAAGGTCTGTTAGACGAGGCAATCGCTCCACCACCGAGTGGCACAAAGCTGCCAAAAGACAGACACATCAAGACAGTACACACAGTTTACTTCTTGTACAGACAGAACATACTGCACATTGAGCTCTTATTGAGGTTATCATCATGAGGTATTAATTAATCGGGCCCTTACTTCACAGATGGAGGCCAACGAGAATCTGTTTCCTGGACACTAAATTAAAGTGGAAGGTTTCAATCTCGCACGCATTATAGGTCAGTGTGAACCCACGCGAAATTATGCAAAGGAGCGCTAATTCACATAAATTCTCTCTTCCACGTACACAGCCAAACACATGTGCAGCTTTGTCATTGTGATGGAGCTTATTTCATTATCATAACAGCATAAAGCACGGGATCCAGAGTGCAAAGAGGGAGGTGGGCAAGAGGCATTGGGAATTTGCTGAACTACTCCAACAAAATGAGTAATTTCTGGACACCCCATTGTGTGAAGAGCTTACAGGGTGAGGGCTCTGAAAGGAAGGATACAAACATGGCAGCAAGTAAAATAAAGTGAAAGATGGAAGCAATGAGATGCAGAGAAGAAAAGAAATTTGTGAAGGGAGCAGGGCGGGATTGGGCGTGTTCAGAAACTTTTTCGCTACAGCCCAGTGTGTGTAGTTACCCTCCTAATCCTAGTTTTATTGGCTGCCTGTGTCCAGCCATGCCGGTCGGATTGAGTAGGGAGCCCAAAGAAGTGGGGGTGGAGGGGCTGAACACATGTCCTTCTTTGTGGTAATACGCTGATTAGGCCTGAGAAAGAGCCGGACCTGGTTACGGCTTTTCTCAGGTCACCGTAGAAACCAGCCCGGTAGGGGACCTCTGTGTGTCTCCCCCCTCCTGATGTGGACAGGCACACCGAGGTCTTCCTCTGCAGAAATTTTTCCACAACACCACCACTCAAAATGCCCCGCAATTGTTGTTGAGTCTCCAATGTTTTTGCCTGTAATCGCGTTGCCTTTCTGGGCAGTTTGCGCTGCACTTGTGGCCTCAACCTGGGAAACGTGGTTTCAATGTTGTTCAGATGCAAACCGCAGACTGATTCCTTTGCCTGCACTCATAAATTAGACCGCTGTCACATTCCCATAATCCATCCCTGGCCCTGCACACCGTCTATCGCTCCGGCACAGCAACTGTCATCCAAATCCCAGCGCTGAGCTCGGCACATTTCTGACGATGCCGTAACACATGACATTGTTCATAATCGAAAACAGACCTGCCTCAATGTCAGCACCGCTATGACATACCGCATCTTGACTTGAGGCATTGAAAAGTCATCTTTATTGGTATAGCACAGAAGACTCCCCACCACAACCAACTGGAGAGCAGGCCTCATACAACTTTCACCAGGCAATCTATCAGTTATTGTCATATTTACCCCCCACAGAACCCCGACGCCCCTCTCAAACAGGGCGGTAGGTTGAGTGCTGCTCAGTCACTGTTGTTTCCCCATCTTCATTGTTAAGGAAGACTAAAACACAGAAGGGGCGGGTGAAGGGGGCACTCCACCGCTGACCTCCAGACTTTGGTCACCGGGCTCTCTCTTCATGCGGCGGGCACTGAGCCTTCTCGATGCAGAGTGCACGCTCCCAGCCCCTGCTGAGCAACCTCACCACCCCACTCATGCCCTAGAGGTCTCCAGGAAAGGCACTATCACCCCCAAGCCACAGCCATCCGAGACATATAGAAGTGCGGTGCAAATACTGCTACATATACACATTGCATTTATTTAAATGTAATAGTATTTATGCTGATAGGTACATCATGAGCACTGTGTAACAGCTAGTATGAACTACAAGTCTACTGTACATGATTATGGTATAATTAGAAGCATTAACGCAGTGCATAGTTGTGTAATTAATATCAGGAATTCTCAAAATTCTCAATAAAACAGGTCATTCTGACAGTTGATGAGCTTTCTGACTTGAAAACAGGATTTCCAGGAAATGCTGGCTTCCATATGGCGCCGCATTCTCAATCTGTTGTGAAATCCATCAGGTAATCTATCCAGGCTTGTATATTAATTTTTAATAAGTGTTCACTCACATTCCTATTGTGTTGATTCAAGAATTCCTCGGGTCTGAAATTGTCTGTTTGAATATTCACATGGCAAGAATGTAAAAAAAATGTTTCCTGCACTTTAGTTAGAAGTAAAATAATCCTGATTTCAAAGAAAAAGGGGATTCTTAAAAAAAACATGATGTTAAGTAAGATATTTACAGGGATAAGTCGCTTCTGAAGTGCTCGCATCTTTGATGGTAATTCCTCCCGTGATAGCCACCTGACAATGCCTTCAGACGAAACTTTTAACTAGATTATCATCACTACAACTGGGTTTGCTTGATCTCTGCTGGGTTATCTTGTTTGCATTGGTGCTGATCAGTTTCCTTGTATGTGAATCAAATGCGTGGTTACTTCAGGCTAAGTCCATCACAAGCATCCCACCCTCCTCCTTCACTCCCTATCTCCCTCTCTCCACTCCCTCCTCCTCCTCCCCGTCCCACGGCTGCTTGCCCCACAGCCCATCAGAATGACAATGGTATTGATGTAAAATGTGTCGCCTTTGGGCCGCTGAAGCATATAACCCCTGCATGCCTGGCCCAGCTACCGCCACAGTTTATGGCTTTATTGTGTTCCCTTTTATGTCCTCCCCTGTTGGGGAGGGCGGGCAACAATTTAGAAAATTCACTGTATATGTGCCCGTGCGTGTGTTGACATGTGTGTGTGCGCACTGTACGCACATGTATCCGGATCAATTAGTCAGAGCGCAACCCCCCCCCCCCGAAAAAATCAACATGTCAACATGTATGTCAGCGTGTGTGAGGCTCCTCCTGGGCAGGAGTCGGGCTACATCGCCTACCTCCAAAACCACTTTGGGGGATCATTTTTTTCCCGATGATCCCGGGATTAAGCAAGTTGAGCAACAACTCAACTCTACCTTTTTCATCTGTCCCTCCCTATCCCTCCTTCTCTCATTTCCCTCCCTCCCTCTCTCTTTTCACTCTTTCCTTTCTTTTTCACATTACCAGGGGGTGGCGTGTGATTGACAGATGGGAACGAATAATAATTTTTTTTTTCGTAACCTAAGGCCATCTTCTGTGATTGGCTTGCCAGCTGACATCTCCAAACCTCATTCTCCCCCTGCTGCCCCCACCACCCCCCCTCTTAATATTGGGCCTGTGGATGAGGCATCCTGAGGGAGAAAAAAGTAGAGAGAGAGAGAGAGAAAAATATATCTACCTTAGGGAAGAACCTCAGAGAGAGGGAGGGAAGGAGAGGACGGGTAGGAGCGTGTGTGCATGTGTGTAAGAGACACTTATTCTCTTAACTACTAGGAGACAGACACACTTTCCTGGCCCGACTCAAAGAAGGGGGGAAAAGAGGAGGAAGATTTTTTTTTTTTTGCTTCAATATCATTTTAATTTTCCCCTCATTCAACAATCAAGCTGCCCTAAAGCTTCTCTTCCTGGAAACTCTTCTTCATTGCCTACTGGAAGTTCTATGTATTGATCTACTTACCCTCTCACACACTACAAGGCTTACCTCATGGATTTGTATCTGATTGGATATTTGATGTGTGTGTGGTTGTCCAGCTCACGGGTGCTTGGAGGCTATCCCATCTGGTGGTGAGTACGAATCCACAGTTTCAGCATCAGACCCTATAGCTGCATAAAGAGAGGGAGACTTTTTTTGGTCAAATGATCATTTCTGAGAGGGCAGAATGTGCACTTTCAGTAGACTGCGTGGAAAAATGTTCTCCAGCCCAGTCCAAAGAATCTTAACCTCAAATACTAGTGTAACGGAAAAGGCTTGCCGTTCTTTTCCCCTGCACATTCAGGTCTATTTATCACGTTGGAGTATGTTATGATGCAAAAAAGGGTGAATTTTTAGTTTAAATCATTCAAACGTGGGTGTCTTCTTTTAATTTAAAGGGGATAAAATACTTCAGCGAGTGGTCACCATGCTGATGTCAACAGCAAAAGATGGACTTTGGAGTATTTGCACATAACAGTTAAAGTCATTCATAAATACATAAATTGCGTCTTTCACTCAGGGACAATGACAGGACTGATGCTGCGCATGAAAACTCAACAAAGCCTCAAAAAACAGCCCCCCCCCTATTTATAAACCATAATTAATTTCTTTTCTGAAATACAACCATGTAATTTTAGGAGTGCCTTAGGAAGTACAACAATAATGGCTTATAAGATCATCGTCATTTTGGTTTTGTTTGTTATTGTGCGTCACTGTTCTACATTCAGGCCGCCGGCCCCCCCAAAAAACCTGCCGTGAAGTGGCTCTAAAAGATTTTTGGGACTGACAAAGTCCCGTACAATTAAAAAAGAAAATATTACAAATTTGCGGTTTACCACGGGGCACAGGCTGCGCTTAAATCGGTACATTTTGGACATTTTGCTTCAATTGCAATACAATTCACCCCCTCCACTACGGATTTGTGAGGAGACAATATGTTTAGGTGCCGCAGGGTTTTACTCTTTGTTAAATTATCCCAGATCGCTTTTGGCACCAGCAACTGAAATTTAGAGGTTTATCTCATTACAGATTCAGCGACATGCAGCTGACCTCATAGCTCCTGGTCTTCTTTTGTAACATAAAGCTTCTATTTTGGAGATATTTGTGTAGGCGTATGACAAAGCTCTTTTGGCACCCGACACAATACTTGTCAGAGCTACTGCACTTTAGTAGCCCAACTAGCATGTGGTCCCACCGTGGTGCTGTCCAAACCGCGAGCATCTTCTGGTTTCATTTACAGAGCAGGCAGCTGCCAAGCACACAGGCCACAGGGCTGAAGTGTTAATGGCAAAGAGGACTTTACACCCACTCCTGGATTCAGCAAGAACCCTAAGACAACAGTGACAAAGAGCTCGGGATTCTCTCTGTGTGAATTACCTGCAGCTGTTCTGTTCAAGGAGCTTACATGACACTGGTGTAATGTTTGAACCTTAACAGTGCGCGCTACCTTTGATTTGGGTAACAAATTCTGAAGTGTAGGCTAGGGTAGATGTTACTGGAGGCGAAGTTGAGATGAAACAGGTAGCTTCAGGTGACCGGGCAGGTGCTGAGGAACGGGCACCGTCAGTGGCACCATCCCCACGGTATAGAGTATGACCAAAGGGTGACAAAATGAGCTGGTGCATCAAAAACAAGAGGGTGCCGAGTTTCAGCAAGGGCCCAGGCAGCCTCTTCCTCGCTTCTGTCTCAGGGGCGATGAGTTGGCCATAAATTCTCCAGCCAAGGTGGGACGGGTTTGAGTGGAAGAGGAGTTTTTGACTGCATTATGCCTGGCAGCCGTGCTTTTTTACAAGATGGGGTGTTGAAAACAAAACAGAGCATAAATAACTCGAGTGATATGCAGATATGCGTGGACGAGGATGAGGTGTGGTGGAGAGAAAAGCCATAGCAAACTAATGAGGAGGGTTTGGAGAGACAGAGCAGTAAACTGCCTTCTTGAAATGCAAGAATGTTGGAAAAACAGCGAGTTTGTACATCAGGTTTTGAGAGAAGTCATAAAAGCTCGAAGCTTAGATGTGACCTCACATAATCCACAGGTTCCACAGTGTTTCTATCCAGTTATCTGACAACACCATGCTCTCTGTGTGGTGAAGAAAAAATGAAATAAAGATCTTATTATTAGACTTACTGCCGCGGTTTGTTTTCACCTTTTAACCTAAGAATGATGACATAATATGTTTCTCTTATTAAACGCCAGCTTTGTTAATACTCCTAATCGTAAGTTAGTGTGGCGTAGGATCTCATCTATTTTCAGAACAGCAGCCAGCAGTGTGTTTGTTTTCCTTGCATAAACAGTGATAGCTGTAAGTGAATGATGACAGCCACTCTCAGCGATGAATTACCTCAGCTGAACTGACTCCAGCCATCGAGCACCGGCAGTGATTATCGGTTTTAACTCGGCCACAAGATGTTTAAATCCAATAACTGCTGTTTTCCTGATCCTCTGTTATCATCCCCGCTGCTAAATCCACATGAGAAAGCAGAGAAGTTGTACACCTCTTGTCAGTTTTGTCCGTGCTCTTTGTCATTAAAAGATTACTTTAAATTTACATAGCTGCTGTTGTGAGAGGTGAAATCAAATAGAGAACAATGGCAAGGAGAAAGAAAGAGGGGAATGACAGAGAAAGAGATGAAGGAATGACGCAAGAGTCTGTTAAATGTTTTTGAAAATCACCTTTAATGAGCAGTAAGTGCAACCGCGGGTGACCATTATTAGTTTAACTTCCATTCAGGTGAAGAATTATTGACACAATAAAGCAGTAAAAATAAATCTGCAACATTGACACAAAAAACTAGCAAATTCTATTTCCTACAAGTGCCAGATTATACATTTAATGCCCTTTAATTAACATTTGGAGCTTGCTATGGATACATACAACTTCCTGGTTCAATCTGCATTACTTGTGGAAGTTTCGAAAACCACTGGGGCCTCAATAATATCTGTGGCATACCTCTCAAGATCTCCTTCCCGGTTCAACCTGAGCAGCTTAAATGGGGCTCTAGAGTCCATCTCCTGGTCTCAGGAATGTCATTATCTGGCTGTGACACCCCCCCGCAACTCCAAAACCCCTACCGCTGGCAAAGGGGGCCACTTAAATGATCCTTACTACGAGAAAATCCTCCCGTCTGCAAGTCTTGTTTGAAAAGATCAAGGATGTTTAGGTATTATTCTGCAGTTGAAGGTGAAGAAAAGAGCAGGAAAATCCATAAGAATGTAATTCATAAGAAACTTTCGGGTTCCATTATGAACGGCTGAAGGCTGCCATAGGGCCAGGGTCAAAGGCAATTTAGGGCTAAAGCTTAAGAGAAATGTCTCAGCAGAAATTGACGTCCACAGGGATACTGGGCACAAAACAATAATACATTTCTAAAAAAAAAAAAAAGTATGATTATGTAACAAATGTTAAGATTCCCTTTATCCTAAAGCATCTGTAATATGACTAAATATGCATTGAAGGGACCCATTATGCTCACTTCCAGCTACGCAGAGTTATTCTTGGACGTACGCTGGGCCTCAGTGGAGCCTCATGGTTCACACACTGTCTTTTAAAAACAAGCCATTTAAGCCTATTTCCTTCTGATTGGCCGTCCCTCATAAGCAGAAGGTGTCACATGAGCATTAACGTTTCTGTTTTTTCTTGCAGCCAGCAATTTTTTTTTCTTCTAGCAGGCGAAAAAAATTTTATGTTTGCAACCGTGTTTCAAAGATGAGGTTTTGAAACTGACTGAAAAATTTGACTTGATGAAACTTGATTCAGTCACTCACTAAAAGATTTGCTGCCCTTATTTTCTGATCCATTACTTTACTTCACCCAGCGCAACAAGACTGTGGGATGACACTATCAAGGCAAAACCAAGCTAGGTAAGAGGTTCAAAGGAGTGTGGTATTTCAAAGCAGCGACGGCGAGTCCTAATCTTCTCCCACCACCAAAGGACATGGGATGTGCTCTTGTAGGAAATGACAAAGTCCCCCTGGTGCATGGCTATCAGCTGCTTTAAACCACAGGGCAGCACAGTTACTCAAAGGGAAAACAGCAACGGCCAGGGGCGAAGAGATCATTAGAGGACACGTGTGGAGGCGCACATGCACACATTATTTAAAGTCTTCATTACCTGGCTGATCTCACCTCTGTGGCTTGTTACAGAGGTCAATTATTAGTGGCAAGCAATTTCTTTGACAGACAGGGTCAGTGACAAAGATGTGCCGATCACACCTGTGCAGCCTGTGTTCAGTTAAAGCCCTCAGGTCACTGACCAGGTCAGCCGAACGCCTGGCAGATGCAGCGAGAAAAGGAGGAGGCTATCATTCAAAAATAGAAGGGGTCTCATTTCAAATAGAAGATCTTTTTACTTTGCAACCACAAAATTTAAAAATTTCTCCAAACAACAACAACAAAAGACCAAGTAAATCACGCAGGAGTGTTTCATTGAAAGATTTTCAGAACCAAAAGCTTTCTGTTTTCCTTTTGTTGCCAGAATTTTACTAATCAGTCACATTTGAACATTCTCTGGTTGCATGCAGATACACAGCAAAAAAACCATCTGATATTTTCTGACAATAATTCAGTTTATTATTAGTATTTTTTATTATATTTTTTTATTTGCTATTAAGATTTTCTGACCACAACAACAGCCCTGAAAAATTAAACACTGCCAGAGAGGTTAAGCCACCAGACCAGCCAATGAGTTGCCAGACTGACACAAGTGTAGAGGAGAGAAAAAGTTGCATAAAGATTGCATGGTCTTGCAACAGCAGGTCCAAAGAAATGGGGAGTGTCTCAGACTGCAGCAGCAGCTCTGAGTGAAGTGTGTGTGAACCGGCGGGCTTTCTTAACCGCGTTTTATTTAATTAAAGCCATTCATTTTTTAAAATTACTTTTAAAGACAATTTGTGGTGTCTGAAATAACCACAATGAAATTCCTGAAATACAGTAAGAGATTTGCAACAGTTCGGTGTGAGTTATGATTTGCATGAGATGCATTGCCGCTGACAATTCGAGCAGGAGTGCCAACAAGCTGCCTTTCATGAAGAGAAGCTGGGGACAATGCGCTGTTTGAGTTGCGGTTCATTCAAACACTCCCTCAGGACTCA